CTTAATCAACTCAGCTAAATGGATGTTCTCTGGACTTGTTACATTCCCCCATCTCATTACATTTGTTTCAAGCTGTCCTTTTCCTTTCTGATGAAAAGAAGCCCTATCTGAGGCTCTACTTCCTCCCAGGTTGTTCTGATCCCCCACACAAGATGTCATTTTTCCTGCTCTGAGCTTCCTCTCTTGCAGCAGGAATCTTTTTTGATACATAGTAGAATAAAACTATATGCGGAGTTCTTCTGGAAGGACATGGAAGAACTACATGGGGAGTGCCTTTGGAGAGAGCTGAGGAGCTAGAGCATGGCAGACAGTCTGGCTTTTCACTGTACACTCTGAATTTTATACCTTGTGTATGAATTTCCCATGAGTTGTCTCCAGTACAACTATTATTTAACAAAATCCAGTATGTAAAATGTTAAAAGAAAGTATATTTATAGGGTCTGGCAAGATGGTTCTGTGGGTAAAGGCGCTTGCCACCAAGCCTGATGACCTGAATTTAGTCCCTGGACCTCACTTGATGGACAGAGAACCAACTCCCTAAGGATGTCATCTGACCACCACATGCGTACTGTGGCATATGTGTACCCCCTAAATAAATGTAATAAAAAAAGAAAATATGTTTATAATCTCTAAGTAGAGGTTATAACCCAAACTTAAAACCCAGAAATCTTAAGGAAAATTATTTTTAAAAATGTTAATATATGTGTGTGTCCTATTCCTGTTTGGCTATAAATACCTGAAGTTCTTTCTTTTTGTCCTTTGGAACTATACCCTAATGATTTCTACATGGTAATCTATGAATATTAATTGGATTGTAGTTAAATTGATTTACAAGCCACTTCTTTGTAGACTTTGCTTTCTTATAACATGAGTGCTAGGTGCACTTCATGTTCCTAAGACTCTTTCTCTTTGTGGGGTTTATAGGAAGAGATGCATAGCAGAACTGGGCTGACTAAAATCCTAGCCCATCCTCTGAAAACTTCTTTTTCAGCACCCTAGCCTGAGTCTATGTGGATCCTGCTTGCTCTCAGGAGCTGCCCAAACTGCTCTGAATTATACCCAGGAAATAACCAATTAGACATAGTCTGAGGAGAGCCAAGAATAAGTCGAGAGGTCTGAGGTGGGCTTACTGAAGTCGAGAGGTCTGAGGCGGGCTTACTGCTCTGAACAAAAGAGGGAAAATGAAAAAGTAAAGTGATTTGCTGGTCAGCTCTCTGAACCACTTGTCTACAGCTTTGGAAGTTGCAGAAATGTTTGTATCTGCTTCGGTCCTGTCCAGGACTTTGGACCAGGTGGGTAGTAGGGGTACCAGAAGTGTTTTCTTCAAGGAGATGTAAGTTCATATTTGGTTTGTCTTCTAGTCTCATAGTTGTTACCAGACTGCTGGATCTGGTAGCATTTTTTGTTAGCACTTAAAAAAATCAATTGTTGCCGGGCGTGGTGGCACACCTTTAATCCCAGCACTGGGGGGGGGGGGCAGAGGCAGGTGGATCTCTGTGAGTTCAGGGCCAGCCTGGTCTATCGAGTTCCAGGGCAGCTGGGGCTACAGGGAGACCCTGTCTCAAAAAAACAAAAAAGAAAAAAAAAAGCAATTGTTTTTTTTTGTCTGTAAAAAAAACAAATGTTTGCGGGGGTGGTGGCGCCCCTTTAAACCCCCGCCGTGGGGGGGGGGGGCAGAGGCAGGTGGATCTCTGTGAGTTCAGGGCCAGCCTGGTCTATCGAGTTCCAGGGCAGCTGGGGCTACAGGGAGACCCTGTCTCAAAAAAACAAAAAAGAAAAAAAAAAGCAATTGTTGGGGCTGGAGAGATGGTTCGGCAGTTAAGAACACTGGTTGTTCTTGCAGAAGACCCAGATTTGAATCCCAGCACCCACATGGAAGCTAACAACTGTCCATAACTCCAGTTCTAGGGGATCCGACGGCCTCGTTGTCCTCCATAGGCATTGCATTGCACGACACAGATGCACTTACCTTTACCTACATACAGGCAATACATACATACACACAAAAATAATATATAAAATATTTTTTTTAAATTTAAAAAAAAAGATCCTTCCAGA